GGCTCCAAGCTAGTGCCGTGCGGGGCTGAGCCAGAAATCCTGAGGTATCCCATCCATTTGGGTCTGTTTTTGGGCAACACAAAGCAAAAAAGCGGTTTTCCTGCTGGGTGTCCCTTACCCTCAAAAAAGACACACCCATGTGGGAAAACGGACGCACATCGAAGGGTATAACACAAGGTACCATTCTATGGAGAGACCCGTTGAATTAGGCAAGGAATTAGGCAAGGAAATTGCATTTACAGCTGGCACATGGTGAATCCTCCCTTTCTGACAGGGGCTGCATGAGAAACCACATATGCACAAATCTTCACTGGCGTCAGCGACTCACCAAAGCAGGCACAGGACTCCTTCGGTGCAAACATCACAGCTTTTCAAAGGGAAACCCGCCCCCCGAATATGATCATTGCAGGGAAAGGGGCGGAAAGAGCACTCGTCGCGTTCTTCCGATCTCTGCAAGCCGAAGGCCGGATGCATCTCCAAGCGCCTGAAGGCCCAGCATGCGCCTCCTCCTGCAAATTCCCAGGGTTCAAGTCTTTGTTTACAAACATATTTGTGTGCGTGTGTGATTTGTAACTGGGGACTAATTGGTGGACGTCATTTGGGTGTGGATTCATGTCCACCAGCCACTTTTTGCGGGGTTCCCAATTAGAATTCCCTGCCAGAGCTAAGCCATGATTCCATACAGAACCTCCGTTTGCCACACATAACCTTATTCTGGATTCCTTTCAAGGGGACTAGGGGCTGGTTCTTCAAAAGAGACTCGCAGAGGCCCAACCCTGCTTTGAGCGGTGTCCAATCTTTGACGAGCCTTCCCACCTGGCCATGGATCGGTGGAATCGTGGCAAGCCGAAGCAAGCACCCGGTGTTCGAACAAAGATTGAAGAGCCCCCCTTAGCTTCTCACACCTCAAGTTTGGATGTCCGGCCCTAACATAGGCATTCGTCAGTTTTTGCCGGTATGAATGTTGTCCGCCAAGAAGGGGGGCTGGCCCTGGGAAAATCCTGTTCAGCGGTCTGACATCCTGTTCAAGCGGTCCATGACTCCATGACCCTCAAGAAGGGTCTTGACGCGAGTTGAAGGGCACCAAACCCCCTTTTCAGCGTTCCCCTTTCAAGTGCGGCTACCTGAACCCCCGGTAAGCACGAACAGCCGCCGGCCCGGACGGTTTTCCCGGGCCCGCTTTTTGTCCAACGCAAGGAGTCCATGACCATCCCCACCCGTGCCACGGTCAGAAGGTTTGTTGGTTTAGTTATATAAGGGAATCGAATCATTCCGGCGACGCAGGAATTTGCTCATGCACAGTAGGTCCGTCAATCCTCAAACCGCAAGCCTTATAACGGCTGTCTAAACTCCCTAAAGGGATGACCAACCCTCCACGCCCAAGTAGAATGGTTTTGACAATGGCACATGTAAGAAACCAACTACCAAAAGGCGCACATGTTTCTTGGGAAAGGCTGGTCTCGAATGGCCATGGGAGTATCAACACCTACCGAACAACCCTACCCCAAAAAACCATGATAAAGACTCGGGCAGCAATCCAAATCCCCATTTCTGGCAAGGAAGCTATCACTTTCTAAGCTTCGCGTGGGTGGCTCGCCTTATTTTGAGGCTTCCCCTGTCCTGGTGGTGCTCAGGAAAACCAACAGGAAAACCAAAATACATTTTTCGTGGGTCCCAAAAAATGGGGACACACCTACATAAGACACCCTGGTGGCGACTGGCATCAAAATCTCCTTGTGGCGCTTCGCCATAGGACTCGGCGAACGGTCGCCTGCAGATTTGAATAGAAAATGGGTCGGGCAATCGGCGCTTGAAGGGAAACCAAACCCTGGGCCAAGAGGAAAAGGATGAGGGAGACAACAAAAAGCACATTTTTGCTCAGGAATCCAAGTAATACTGTGGATGAACCAAATCCGCGCTAGGCACCAGCTGGGATAGATGAAAACCCTTGATTATTTGCGGAAACCATCTACTAACTGCAATTGGTGGACCAGCCACCCCGTCCGAGCTGACCCCAGTCCCCCCGAAATGCCCTCCTGCTAGACCGGTATTCCGAGGATTTGTTTGCCGCGAAGTACATGGAACGGAACCTTAAAATAGGTACAAAAGGAAGCTCCTCTGTAGCTGAATCTTGCACAAGCTACAACTTATTCAAGATGTTTTAGCTGTAGCCTGGGCTGAACAAGAAATAGTGTAAGGTTATTAAGACTAAGGAGGAACGCATCGAGACCGCAGCGCAAGTTAGACACGTTCTTCAATCAACTGGGGTGTTCTTTCTTTGTTTCTTTCTGTCTTTTTTTTTTCTGTCCTTGTGTCTTTCCGCCTTTCTGTCTTTCCTTGTTTCGCTCTTTGATTACTTTTCTTTCTTTTCCACAGCTGCAGTTATTCGCCTGGCCCATGCTGCGGCTGCTGTGGACTGCGGTGCTGTTACTTTGCCACAGCTGGGCTCTCAGCAAATGATTTGTTTGCTTCTGGCTTGCGGGCAGGGTTCCCAAGAGTTCCGTCAGGGTTATGGGAACCCAGGATTATTGACCTTCTGGTTGCTTTCTTGGGAGTGCCCCATTTCAGGGAGGCTCCTTTCTTTTTGGGGAGCCACCTCCCAAACAACTAGGTAGATGAGTCCCCTGCACATTGCCATGGAACCAAAAACAAAGTCCCCCAAACGAAGATTGCTCTAAAAACTTGGATTGTTGGGATCAATGCTCTGCAGGGTTAAAAAATTGGGGTCGGCAGTAGCAACATTGAGGAAATGGGTGTTTTTCTTGACAAGTACCAGCCCGAAAGAAAAGGCACCCCAACAAGCGCCACCATTGGCAGAGATGCAGCGAGAAAACGCCCAAGCACTGGGTACACCAAGAATAACATGTTCAGGTGTTCGTGGTTAGTCAACTCTTCAATCCAAAATCGCATCACAATCCGCAGGAAAGAAGCAACGAGCTGCAAGCTGCAGCAAGGCTGCGTCGATGACAAGGAAACATTGGACTCAAAGCGAGCATGGGTAAGTGCAATTGCGACCACAGAAGTGCGACAGACAGGCCGGCAACTACCGCCATCTTGATCGCAACAAACAGTACAAAGCTTGGGCAAGCGCAGCAACAACTCCCGCCTTCAGCTTCCCGGGCGTGTTGGCGCCCTGCAACGCCGAACTAGATATTTGTGAAATGGTGAGAAACACTCAGTTCACAAACCCAACGTTTATTTACAGTGAGCACGTTAATGGTGCCCCAGGAAATCGGAGTCACAATGGGATTCCACCATCAGAACGGGGCCAAACCAGCCCAAAATATCTGAGGTGTCTTCTTTGGATTAGGGACACACTGACGCATCTCCACGCGATCAGTCAGTCTATCAACCAATCAAAAACGACAGGCAGATGCATGGCATGCTTGAAAATGTTAACCAACCAGTCAGTCAGTCAACTATGTGTCCAATCCCACCCACTCCAACCATTCAAAGCAAAACAAACTAAATCAAGTCAAAACCCGTCAAACCAACTAAACTAATCAAGCAAACAAGTCAAATCATGCATCCAACCCAACACAACGAAAACCAGAGTACCAAAAACAAATCAACACAAACCAAGGCAAATCAAGCCAAAACAAAACAATCAACGAGCCAATGAACCAATCAAACGATGAAACAACGAACAAGCGGGCCAATGAGTTCATGAGCCAACAGAAAAACAAACCTGCGTGCCCCTATATGAATGAGCCAGCGCAGTAAGCCAACCACTGAATGAACGAGCGAATGAGCCGAAGGAATGAACGAATGACCGAGTCAGTGCATGAATGGATACATGAACGAGTGAACGAATGAACAAATACACGAACGAACGAATGAACGAACGAACGAACGAACGAACGAAGGAAGGAAGGAAGGAAGGAAGGAAGGAAGGAAGGAAGGACGGAAGGAAGGAATGAATGAATGAATGCGTGAATGCATGCATGCATGCATGCATGCATGCATGAATGAATGAATGAATGAATGAATGAATGAATGAATGAACGAACGAACGAACGAACGAACGAACGAAGGAAGGAAGGAAGGAATGAATGAATGACTGACTGACTGACTGACTGACTGACTCACTGACTGACTGACTGACTGACTGACTGACTGACTGACTGACTGACTGAATGAATGAATGAATGAATGAATGAATGAATGAATGAATGAATGAATGCATGCATGCATGCATGCATGCATGCATGCATGCATGCATGCATGAATGAATGAATGAATGAATGAATGAATGAATGAATGAGTGAAACAACGGATGAACGAATGAGAACATGAATGAATGGGGGTATGAACGAATGAACGAACGGAGAAACGAATGAACAACTGAGCGAACGAACGAATGAATAAACGAACGAACGAATGCGCAAGCGAGAATGAAAGATTGAGCGAACGAAAGACTGAGCGATTGAACGCATGGAGTCGAGGAACCCGCACACCAATACATCCATGAACCCGTAATTCCGCGTTCTGGCTACTGCGCCATTTCTCCTTCTCTGGCCTTTTTTCCTCGTGTTCCAGCTTCAGCTCCTCCTCGCGCTCCCCTTTCTCGGCCCTGCGGCTGCAAAAGCGCACGGCGGGCGTGACCATCCAGGCGCGCCTGCTCTGCGAACATCCTCGCAAGGTCACCTGGGTCTCGCTTGCCACGCCAGCACCCCGGACGCAGGCTTTGAACAGGAGGATGTCAACTGAGCGGCCTATGGAGAGCCGGCCTTTGACACAGAGAAGCTGGAACGAGGAAGGTTGCTCAGAATCGATTGCTCGTGTGGCCAAGTTCAAGAGGACTTCATAAAGCTGCTGGGCTTCCTGGCCTTGATTCTGCAGTTTGCTGCGGCATCTTCCAGGAAGGGGGATGGCCCTTTGCTCTTTGACTACTGGACGCCAAGGTTGCGGACGCAGCTGTTGCCGGGCGGTGGGGCGCATTGAGGCCAGCAGCTGCAGGTGGGCGCGCCAAGCCTCCAGAACCTTCGCCCCCCCCAGCT